TCTTTTTTGTTTTTCTGGTCTTTTCTTGAAAATTGCTTCCGAGTAATTTGAGCAATACCGTAAGTGCACGCGTCGTTTACAAACAACATTTCTCTTTGTGCTACATGTGGCTGAAGCCCAAGTGGCTGAGTAAGGAACTGAATGACATCACACCTAAAAATACAACCCAGAATCGCAAATTTTGTTGGTCACCTTTACCCCCAAATAAAACCGAAAAAACAAAACCGAAACCACTCACAATAAGACACATAGGCGTTTCGTTCTTACGTACATACGTATGGGCCAGTGGGGTAACTGTTTTTTTTAATCATTTCACCCCAAGCAAGGCAATAAAGCCTCTAAGACGCAAGGGGTTACTGAGTATGTGAAAAACCAAAACAAGAATTAAGATGACATCAGTCAGTCAGTTGTGTGCCGTGCCTGATACACGCGTAGGCGATCATGTATCTTTCGATACATGACTGACGAGTCAGTTTTTCCCGCAGTAGGTTGCCATTTCTTTCTGCTCTAGAACAGTTGCCATCCGAGGCTATAGAACCCGGTCTGTCCTGCTATTTACCCATAGCTGGGGGGGGAGAAGAAGAGAATTAATACCTTTCCCAGGGTATTAGAACGTAAGTGAATGTAATGGATTCGACTGGAATTCGAATGGCATTTCAATTTTTGAAGATCGAAGTTGACTCGGAATCTAGAAGCTTGTAGAGAATTCCACAAGTTCCACAAGTAAGAAGTGCGATAGAAAAAACTGCGAACACAGAACTTACGGTTCCATCTAGCCATTTCAACTGTAAAATGATGAAACCTTGCCACCAATCTTGTACTGCGCTTAAATTCATAAAGTCTAGGTACGATAGAGGAAAGTTTCTCAGAACAATCAGCATGAAAGTAATTATAGAGAAAGCACAGGGGAGCTATATTGCAGTGGTGGCAAAGTAACTGAACGCGAGATGCCAGGTCAGGGCCAATAACATTCCAGATTCTTCTTTGGATTGTATCAAGAATATCTAGATATATAGCAACTGAACCAGACAATATGTGGCATCAATATTCAAAACATGGACAAATGGTAGACTTAATTTCTAAGATAGATTCTTGTAAGATAAATTGCCTAGCGTTAACATGGTGAATCAACTTTCCTAGCATTAGATCTAGCAATTGATTCAATATAATATTTCACGTCAGCGGAAAATGCCAGCAGCGGATCATTCTTCTAGAAATTAACATCCGCCATGCTGATGAAAGGCAGAAAAGTGTCTCTCAGATGATTGATAAAGAACAGTTTCGTTTTAGGAATGTTAAAATTAACAAGCGATTGCTTTCCCCAGTTAACAGCAGACTGTAGGTCATTTTTTTTTTTAGATCATTTTGGCATTCTTTTTATCGAATTTGTAACTTCAGAATTTATCATTCCAGTAAAGCAGCTATGATCTTTATCTCTGTTTGTACAATTTGTCAGTTATCGAGAAACTGGCACAACCATTACAGAATACCGTTGTTCAATAGGGTAGAACCGTGGTATTTCACTCAATTTGAAAGTTGACGTTGTTCAATAGGGTAGAACCGTGGTATTTCACTCAATTTGAAAGTTGACGTTGTTCAATAGGGTAGAAACCGTGGTATTTCACTCAATTTGAAAGTTGACGTTGTTCAATAGGGTAGAACCGTGGTATTTCACTCAATTTGAAAGTTGACGTTGTTCAATAGGGTAGAACCGTGGTATTTCACTCAATTTGAAAGTTGACGTTGTTCAATAGGGTAGAACCGTGGTATTTCACTCAATTTGAAAGTTGACGTTGTTCAATAGGGTAGAACCGTGGTATTTCACTCAATTTGAAAGTTGACGTTTGACATGAGAAATAAGAACACAAAATAGTTTTTTCTAGATCCTTACCGTTTTTTTGAGGAGACGAGTTTAAAGATTAATCATAGCGTTGAAATTTTTTCCGGTGATCAGTGAAGCTTTATAAAATCCATAATTTTCTGAAGCTTGACATATTATATATAGACAAGATGCACAAGCACATTATTACTAAATCATTGTGTCATCAAATAAGACCTTCATTTGCTTCAAAGGGAAATTATACTAAACAATTTAGTCATATTATGATGTAATATATTATACAATGCAGTATTTGTTAGTGAGTTTCAATAAACAATGTAAATTTAAAACATTTTGTCTTATAATTTGAGCTCAGCAGTATTATATACACTTTTACCTATTTTTTATTTTCATTAATTATGATCCAAGAAATGATCAAACAAATCTTATTCATTGAGTAGACTTTTTGTGGTCTTTTACATATTTTTACACAGTTTTTACTTAATGGATGCAATAAAAAAAACTTGCATACTTTGCTTATGGCGTTTCATAATTAGAATACTGGTTTGAATATATTTCCATTCAATGTGTCTAATGCAAAAGATATTAATTTTATTTGGATTTATTCTTGAAATAGTAAAATTTTGAAGTCAGTTTGAATGCAGAAGTTACGCATTTCTGTACATTTTTCATACATTTTTTAAACCAAATGCTCAAAAACGGATAAGAGCTATGAATTTAATTTCTGGTGTGAGTACTTATCATATCAAACCTTAGTTTTCACAATAAATACAATGTTGATTTTCTAAAAAAAAAAAACGTGTAAAATCCACCTGTCCTAATAGAACACCCCAGCCAACCTCTAACATTTTCTTCTGGGTCTGCAAAAAACACGTAGTTTGAAGTTCTGAACCTTTCAAACCACTTACTAACAGTGTTCTCAGCTATGGCACCGTCTCTATAAACGGCACATATCTCTTTTTGCTGCGTCTAAAACGTTGTTTCCTTTCGATAAATATCAAATGACGAAAATGTATATTTTCGCCCATTTACATTTTAAAATTAAAAAAAAAACAAAAAACGAAATTCATAATCCACACACTAATCGTATAGAAAAACACGTGTTGAAATGTGACCATTCAAAATATGTCTATATGTCATAAATTTCAGAATTTCAAACCAAATCACGTGTCCGGATGCTACCTATTGAAAAACGCTACTATCATTTTCTTTCAACCCAGTAATAAGTTTTTAAGAACATCTTCCGCATTGTTGTAACTGAAAGAAAGAAGCTTTTATTACCATTTACACTTTTCCAGTCACAAAGTGCCCAGTGCAAATCGCAAATAATTACACGAAATGGTTGTTAGCAAAGGGAACAGTCCAATATGCAAATTAGAAATAGGAGATGCCAAAATCAAACAATCGCAACTAAATATCTGGGAAGAGTTTTAACAGAAGACGGAATGTGCGACACTGAAATCCGAAGGCGCATTGGGGTAGACAAAGAAGCCTTCCAAAAGCCAAGCAGAGTATTAAAAAACAGAAAAAAAAAAACATTAGAAACAAAAAACAAGAGTACAGAACTGTTACATAATATCAGACCTTCGAGATAGAAGTTAATACTAGACAGTTTAATTACAGATGATGAAGGTACTCGAAGCAACAGAAATGTGGTTCTACAGAAGGATGCTGAGGATAGCATGGACCGAACATGTAAGCAAAGACGAAATTATAGAGAAAATGGAAACAAAAAGGAAACTTATACTTGATATCAGTAAGAGATAGTTGAAATTTCTAGGGCACATAATTTTGGTTTGTGAGCGAGAGTGAGTTCACCGTTAGAATCTGTAAGTTGGATTTTTATAATCTATTTTATTTTATAATCTATTTTATTTTATAATCTATTTTATTTTGCCTCTTGGAATTTTAAGGTTGGACTAGTTCTTTTCTGATTTCTATACAACACGTCTTTCATGCCTTTTGGGTTTGTGAGACTGGATTTGGACTTTTTCACCGCCCTTGTTGTTTTGGGCGTTTCTTAACAAATTCAGTTCTTTATTTTTCTAGGGGGTAGACTGAAGTCAACACAAAGTTTTATTCTTTAAAAATGTTTGACTCCTTCTCCAACAGTGTGGATTGCAGCCTTCTTTCCTACGTTAAGACGTTGAGCGCTTGCAAAATAGACATGCACATAATTATTATCTTCAACTCTTCCTTGCAGGAACTATTTTCACTTTATAATGTTATGTTACCGAAAATGAGAAAGACGTCCTTTGATTGCACCAACCCTCACCTTCTTTGGTTCGTTTGTATTGTTGTATATATTACGTCATTTCTGATCTACATCTAATATTTGTTTATTCTTTCATAGACTTTCCAATCATCCTGCAATACCATATATCTTAAATCAGTTCGGAGGATTACCAGTCAATAATCGAATCGATATAAGAGTGATTTTCAAATTTCGTGATAGTCTGCTTCCTAACTGTTATTTCAGCCAATTCAAACATTTGTAAGCAAATTGATACATTTGTAAAAAGCTGCGATACGCAGGAGGTATAAAAGTTCAAACATCTCATCAATTACATAGTTATCGCGTGCAGAACGAAATTCTTATGCTTTCAGAAATTTAATGAAAGCGCAGTTCATTATTAGCGAAGCTGTGCGGTTTCACGTGTTATGTCACTGGCGCAGAGGCTGTTGACACCATAGGTTTTTCGTTGACAACAAGCAGGTATCATGGTTTCCGACTATGCCCACTTATACGCAGGTCATCCGTGATAGAAAGACATTTCAATCATATCGGCCAGACTTTACGTATATATATATATATATATATATATATTTGCTCTACTCTGTATTGACAACTAGTCCTAGCTAGTTTGTGGCTCTTTAGGATTTATTATATATACATATACATACATACATACATACATACATACATATATATATATATATATATATAAACGCATATTTGGGCAGCAATCTTTCTTTTAAACATCTTTCATTAAATATGCCAGACACAGAAAATTTAATCAATTTTTTATTTAGTTTTACACACACACACACACACACACACACACACATATATATATATATATATATAATCCATGAAGTTAACTAAAGTGACGAATTAACTAAGCGTTAAAATATAATTCGTCTCTGTTTATGACTGACTTATGGTCATACCACATTAAAATATCCATTTTCGTCCGATCACCGAAGTTAAGCAACGTTTAACCTGGTCAGTACCTAGATAGTTGATCGCTGGGGAATTCCAGGTGCAGTAAGCTTGGATGTACGCGTGGTTTAATGGATAAAAACACGGAATTAGAAATCTGAGAGCCGAGTTAGAATTCCATTTGAGTTCGTCATATTCCCTTACATGCAAATATTCCTGGAAAAGGTATGAATCTATCTTCTTCTCTCAGGTATGGGTTAAATAATAAAATATGTATCAGGAAATCATTATTATCTCAGCCCCCCCCCCCAAAAAAAAATTTCACAATACCATAATTAGTTTCGGCTTTAAATAGCCTCAAAAAAGGGTGATAAACTGTAAATAAACAAATCTGTTTATGACCGCTATCACCACACTACTGCGTCGTTTCTGCATAGGCACGTGACTAATTGTTTATCGATCGCAAGAAAGGATGGCAGTTTTATCATTACAGAATTGATTAGAATTTTCCAGAATTTGGAATAGCATTTTCTATTATCAGAAAGGAATTAATGGAGATAAGTCATAAATAATTTTTCCAAGAATGACTCTGCGTATCTTCGTTTGAAATTATTTTGCTGCGCAACCGTGTTGAATCTGAACACAAAGATATTTATCGAGTTCATTCTGGGTACTTCAACATCATGTAATCGTTAGCAAATATGTCTCGCGAGATCAATTGCGACTGAGTAGTTAGTTCGAGCCTTCAGTGGGGGCTCCGCACTTTTGGCCTTGTGCTACAACAAGCTACGCTTAGAAAATCATTTTTAGTGTAATGGTCAGCAAACTGAGAGGAAAGACGTAAGTGGCACACGCCTCAGAGCTACCCTTCAAGGAAAACCGCTTTCGGCGCCTAATCTCAACCGACCTTTGCCAGTACTTCAGACCAATTTATCTCCTGCTGTTCCGCGTCGTAACCACATTCCGATAATCTGGACAGGACTTCCCGTCCAACCAAAGGGTTCCGGAAGATCAACCCCTCTTCCAGCCACGTAGAGCCGGAGTGCACGCCCTGTTCCTCGGCCGGCGAAGGAGGGCCTCCAACGCCAAAGCATGAAGTAGGAAGGCAGGCAACCCTTACGAACCGGCCGTGACAGCGCAAAAGCGCGCGACCACTTCTCATTCACCTGCATCATAGCACTGGGGGAGTGATAAAGGTAGCTGATCCAGAAGTCAGGTTTGAATCCGGCGGTCTGCAGGACAGCAGCCAGGTACTGATGGTCGACCCTATCGAACGCCTTGGATTGATCCAAATTGATCAACGCAGCTTCTCCGTCGTCTCCTACACCCTCTACGATCGTGTAGATCGTGACTGTTGCTCTGAATTATTCGTTCCTTCAAAGCACAAGTCTGCTCGGGTACCAACAGAATTTGGACAACTGACTGCAAACACTCCGTCAGGATCTTGGCTAAAATCTTTAACTCTTTAGCAGAGTTATGGGCCTATAGTCATCTAAATCCCGCCCAACACCCTTGTTCTTTTCCAACAGCGTGACCACACCCGCTGGACATCCGGTCGGTGATGGACCCCTGATGAAACCAGTTGTTGAACACGACTTTGGTTTATCCAAAGTCTATGCGGTTGGCGTAGATGGCGGTGACTTATCTGGGCTACGGGGAGACTCCTCAATAATGTTGGAGAGGAGAGCCCCCGCGCTAAAACACGTACAAAAAGACTAAAAAACAATGCAGCTAACAAAACAATACGTTCCTAAAACAGTATCAAAAACACACACTGAAAAAAAACGTCTCTTTGTTTCTTTAAAAAAAATCCTTTTTCAAAAAAGAACAAACATGTCGCAAAGGTTTTTACATATATTATGGACAAAAAATAGGTTTTGTTAGATTTCAGAGGTCTTCAGCTAATATCAGTTTAATTTGCATACTAACTTCAGTCAATCCATTTTCATAAATTCCAAATATCTCAAAAAACAACCATTAAAAATAAGAGAAAATTTAGTTAAATATTTTTACTAAAGGTGGAAATGGAAGAGTTTAATTTTGACAAATATTGGTTTAGAACTGTTTGAGTTATTCGGGTTTATTTGATTTGCATAATAATTTCACATAGGCTGTGCTTGTGATATCCTGGGAATTTGATTGTTATCTGGATGCTGACGATTTATTATTGGCATTTAAATGCTGAAATTTTTGGTTCTGTCTTTTACTGGGTTTTAAATTAACATTTTCCTTATTGTTGTGTATTTGATTGAAAGCGTGAATTTATATGGCTGCAAATTTTAAAATACGGAAACGTTTCTTTTCTGAGAAAACACACGCCATTAATAGCTAATTTAAAACTTAGAATTCGAATATATTTCCTTTGACCTACGGCTACTCGGAATGTAATCAAAGCTTCCAGCGAAAATCATCATCATCGGCTGCAGGAACGACCGATCTTAATACATTGCAAGACAAAAGGACATTCACGAATCTTTTCATCGGCACTGTGACAGTGCTATTATCTACCATGTAACTAATCAATCTACGTTCTATTTTCTTTTCCTACTGTCTTTTCTAGCCATTGGTGATCAATCAAGCAACCTTTTGCTCCATCTTTTTCTTGTTATTTTTTTTTACAGTAAAGTTCACCATTTACAAAGCCCGGGAGCCACTCGAGGTAGAGGGTTACGCTAAAGGGTAGTTTATATGGATAGGAGGGGAAGATAACTGTTAACTATAGACTTGAACAGATTAAGATTGTAGTGATCGAGAAAGTATCCTCTTGAGAGTCAGTTCCATTGTTTCGCAGGAAGAAGCTGTTTGAGTGGAACTTCTCGCCGATGGAATACGGATGGAATGTGGGTGCTTTGCTACTCTGTAGTGGCATGGTGGGTCTTAATCGTGAAGGCTAGACCGGCGGAACCAAGAAATGTAGTTCGTCCGAGCACTTCCCATGGAACTAGCCATAGAGCAGTGAGAGACTTGCCATATCCCACCTGTGAGAGAGAGTCTGGAGGGTGGAAAATAATTCTAAGATTGCAGTGATCGGGGAAACATCCCCTTGGGGTTTTTGTTCCACGATGCAGTGGTCCGCGAGAAGAAACTGAGTGGGCCTTACTTCTCGCCGATGGAATACGGAGGGAATGTGGGTGGTTTCCTACTATGTAAGTGGCATGACGGGTCCTAGCCCTGAAGTTTAGACCCGGCGGAACCAAGAAATGTAATTCATCCGACCACTTTCCATGGTATTAGCAAGAGAGTCTCAGTTATCATTTCAGTGTTCCTTGCAACTGTATTCTCCTCGTTTAATGACTTCTACAATATCTCCTTTCTATTACAGTCAACGTTATACATTTGTTTATTTATTTTAGAAAAATAATAATGTAATGTTCTTTGTGTTTTTTTAATGAAGCGTTGGATGGGCAGTTGATAGAATTAGCCTGATGAGACCGTGAGGTCGAAACCAAGGTCACGTATTCTGTCTGACCTCCTAATTTTTAAAGTTTAAAGCTTTACATGTTATTTTTACGTTTATTTTTTTCGCACGAGAGAGAGAGAGAGAGAGAGAGAGAGAGAGAGAGAGAGAGAGAGAGAGAGATAAGGTCGTAAGTTAATATAACATATTGGCTTACGGCCTTATCATGTTGAAACACTGGTTCCCGTACAATCGTCGAAGTTGAGCGACGTCAATCCTGGTCAGTTGCTAGATGGGTGACTGTTTAGGAATGACAGGTGCTGCAAGTTTGGATGTGCGGTGGTCTAATGAGAGCCGTGTTCCAATTCCCGTTGGGTTCGTTATATTCACTTACGCGCACATACCCTTTGGAAAAGTATGAATCCACAACCTCTCCCCACTTATCGGTCAATCAGTAAGACTTGTATCACTAAATAATTGTTATCTCAAAAAAATAATTAAAAATTTGCTTACAAAACCTTTAGTTTTCGGCATTAAATAACCCATAGAGGTCGATATACCGCTAAAAAAACGGCAACCAACCAATTTAACATATTCCTCGTTCAGAGTATGCTCTTATGAAATAACCATCGTGATATTTACGATATTTCCTCCTAATTTAATTATTATAAAGCTCTAATATAGTAAAAAAAATATAATTGCAAACGACTTATTATGACTTTCCATCGTCTTTGCTAATTAGTTAATGAGATTATTTTCAAATTATACTCAATTTACATTAATCTATAAATTTGTCAGATTAAAGACGACAGAAGAATAATTGTTTACTTCTGTTTACTTGAATGTATGCACACACACACACACACACACACACACACACACACACACACACACACACACACACACACATGCACAATCATATACATGCATATATAAGGAATTTAATTAAAAGTATATATGTCAGGTATCAACATACTAATTCACACACATTATATATATATATATATGTAAGCAAATATATGGATATAGATCCGACAGTATGAAGAAAATATATGGAAAAACAAAAAAAAAAAAAAAAAATCCGAATATGCAAATAACATTAAAACAGCATATTTGCATATTCGGATTTTTGTTTTTCCATATATTTTCTTCATATATATATATATATATATATATATATATATATATATATATATATATGTATAATGTATTTATGTATATATATAATAAATATATATATATATATATATATATATATATATATATACTAATAAACTGAAATGAGAAAATATAGAACTTATTTGTGTAACGCGTATCATTTATTCAGGAAATTCCTCAAAGCTATTTTGCTTTTGATGAAGTTCCAGCACACAGACGAAACGTGTTGCAAAAGTAAGTTCCCTATAATTTCCCTATAATTTTGTCATTTCAATTTATTACTATAGGTACTCTCTAGATGCGTTGATTGCCTACCGTAGCGAGACTGACCAAAATTTTGACATGAAAAATGCGACTCAAAGGAGAAAACAATTCACTTCGACGAAAATGTCTAGAGAGCGACTAAATCGCAAGGCCGTCTACAGTAAATTTGCAGCCTGGATCTTACAATATTTCACTGTTTCTGGCAGAACTTCTATTATGACAGTGTGGGATACCCACTAACAAAAGTGATGGAAAGAAAAAAACTCTAAATAAAATCGCCTAGATTTTAAA